TTGACTTGTTCGGTATTTTTGGCATATGTGACAAGCTTTAGCAACTACTTCAAACTTGCTGTTTATTTAAAGGAAGTGCTAAACATCTTTGATCATCCCACCGGAATTGTCAATCCCTAGCTGACCTTCATGTGTCCTTTTTGGATATCTTTTCCTCCAGCCAGCCTTCAAATGCTAAGGGTTCTTAATAAAATATGTAAATAACATTTGGGCAGCAGAAGACAGCTGGAGTCAGGAAGGGACACTACTCCATCCATTTTAGAAATGGAAGTTCAGGATCCACCACAGGTGAGCATCTTTGGTGTTTTTAGTGCCCCCTTGAACCCTTCAGGTTATTGTGGCACCCTTTGTACGAGCAGCACCTGTTTTCCCTGTGACACTGGTAATGCTAAACACAACCCAACTGCAGTGAGAAGAAGCATCACCCATCGCAAGATGTGTAAGTGTACTAACATATGCCCTGGTATTCTAAGGGTTCATCAGAGACCTCCATTAATACATCACAGTTTTTGGTACCAGCCACATTTCGGAAAGGGTGGCAGGAGGTGAACAAACTGTTCTGCTAATGCACTTACTTGTTTGGCTATGCACCAGGAAAGAGATCATTTTTATTTCACCCTATAGCTGCTCACCTACATCCAGCTCCTCTACCACAAAAGCAGGGCATAGGAGGAGAGCAGTGGGAGGCAGGCAGCTGATGGTCGAGCACAGCAGGAGAGACTGGGAAGCCTCCATCAGTGCATCTCGCCACCCTCTCCTGTGGGGCAATGGCCATCTCCCTGGTTGGCTTTTGAGGACAAGGGCTCTGCCAGGGGAAGTGTGCAGGGAGGTAGGCCAGTGAATGCCAGCTACGAGCTGGTTTTAAAACCCCTTTCGGTGGTCTATTCATCTCTCTGGGAATTTCAGTAGTTCCCTTTCTCTTTTCACTGTTTTTTCAACCTTGGTCACCCCGTGCTCTGCCCCTGATGCCTCACACCCAGCGCGTGCCTGAGCTCTGGTCCGGTCTCCTTGCCCATGGCACAGCCTGCCACAGGCCTGGGCAGGCCGAGGGCCCCACCGGCCAGCTCAGGGTCCCGCCAATGTCAGGCCTGTCCTTGTGGCAGTGCTGCACAGCAGCGTGGACGCTGGTTACACTGCTGGAGCCCCACCGACCATCCCCAATGCAAACCCGCTCTGGTCCGGTCTCCTTGCCCATGGCACAGCCTGCCACAGGCCTGGGCAGGCCGAGGGCCCCACCGGCCAGCTCAGGGCCCCGCCGCCAATGTGCCTGTCCTTGTGGCAGTGCTGCACAGCAGCGTGGACGCTGGTTACACTGCTGGAGCCCCACAGACCATCCACAATGCAACCCCTGCCTCTGGGGTCTTCTGCTTAGACATGGTGCCCGTCAAGGTTGGCTGCAACCTCTGCATTGGGGCAGCAGGATGAGGGAGGGGAGCATGGGGTGAGCCTGTCAGAGGTAGGAGATGAAGAAAAGTATGATGCTTGTTTAGTCCTTTCTTCTACCAGTCAGAAATGACATTGCCTATGTAGTACTGGTGATGGTAGATAGGAAAGTATCAGTGACATCAATAGGCACCCAGACATTCTGGAGTATGCCTAAAATGGGAAATAATTTATTTTGTCCTCTATATGCATTTATTCTTTTTTTCTGGAATGTATCATACATAAGCTAGTCTTCATGCCCCTTCAGTTTGTAGTAGTTTTTTTAGTGAATATTCAGCAGCGATCAGTTGCAATTGCTCTCTGGCTGACGTTTATCAGGGATTACAATTCATCATCGTTGACTTCTTGGAAAGCTGCATTGTTAGCCCAAACTGAACATGGTATAAAGGTAAAGCATGAACTAGTTATAATACAAAGGAGAAATTTTTATTGGCATAGTTTTTGCCATTATGCTCAATAAGCAAAACTTGTCCTTTATAAGTGCCTCAAACATTTTCCTTTTGAAGAAGCCACCACCTTTCAACAGGTCTGAGAGCTGGCTGAAGAGGCTGCTCAGGGCTCCCATTTCACTGCAGCCTTTCTAGAAGGATTTATAGGTTCCTCTGTGCTCAGACAGCTGCTGCTTCCCCTTTCTCAAGCAGCAGTGCAGCAGTTTTAGCTTCAGTAACTGTTGCCAGTGTAGACACCCTCAGAATGAATAAAGGGGCAAAATGAGCAGGAATCGGCCACAAGGAGAGAAATTTCAGTGACGGATAGATGGGCAGTACTAGGTTTGGGTTTGTTACATGTGTGGGTGAGATTCAATTCCAAACTCAAGTATCTACATTTAGTCACCTTCATGCCTAAATGACTATGTTGGTGAGTGAGCTGAATGTCTAAATTCCCATTGTAGACACTACTATTAGAGTCAAGCAAATGTTTTGTTCCACTCTAATGTAGGCAACCACACTAGGACAACTGAATCATTCTCCAGACTCCATTAGCTCAAGCTCCATCAGGATCTCAGACTCCTAGCTCACAGGTACGAGAGCATGTCTGCATATAGTTTGTTGTGAAGGGTTGCTGTTGATGGAAGACTTGAGCAAATGGGGAGTGAATGTATACAGTAGGAGGACTATACTTGTGCAGGTAGTAGGGAGGGAGTTGCAGTGGATTTGGTAGAGAAGGGGAGGCCCTGAGAGAATATTATAGCTGGCAAAAAAAATGCTAAAATACATTTTGTGAGAGGCTGTGAAAACTTGTGGCTGTTTTTGTTCTGCTTGATTGAAACAAAACCATTGTATTAAAGGACAAGATTTCCTGACATTTTGGAGGAGGAAAAAAATGCATTTTTTATGAGCTGCCACAATTAATTTTTTTTATTTTGACTTTTCTTCTTTTACTACCAAAAGTAGCAAAATAAATTATATACAAGGCTTAATCCCCCAGACACACATGCACACACACACCTTTTTCTTGACCTCCAGTTTTTACTTGTCTGTATTTTTTTGAAGTTTTTCCAATTCAGAAAGTCACAGTTTCATTTTTCTTTGACAGTTACAGAGTTTTTCCAAATTAAGAAAACTTTGCTTTTAAAATGACAGAAAGGAAAAACCAAAAGCAAGAATACATACAGATAGAAAAACAATAGTCACATTGTATTCTGTTATATTGACTAGCAACATAAACACAAACAAGAGCAAGGGAAAAATGTAAGTGAAAACAGACCAAGAAAAATGTTACAGGTTGTGGACGTTTTCAATTTCAATGTAATTTTGAAAAATACTTTGAAAAATTATTTCTCGTAAGTCCTTTTGAGTCTTCAAAAAGTTATGGATTATTGTTTTTCTATTTGAAAATATCTTGCAAATAAAGACTTTTAGCCAGCTGCCAGCTTTATGCCAATATTACATATGACTGTGGGAAAACCATGAGATTTTCTTTTTTTTTTAGCCAATTTTAATCCTGGTCAAAACCACATGCACCAGTAAGATGAGGCAACATACAGAGTCATTGAAATACCTGAAATTCACAGTGAATTCCAGTTCTCAGACAATGTAATTGCATTAAAGACATGAAAGAGGTGGTGTTTTATACTCAGGTGAGGATCTAGCTGTAAGGGTTAAACCATAGGCCTCAGTCTTATTCTTCAGTGTGAATTTACTCCAAATGTGAAGCTGATCTCTGCCGATTTCCTCCCCACCCCCAGGATTACAGTGCCATCACAGAGACACAGTCAGCTGAGAGAAGAGGAGGAAGGAATTTCCTCACTTCCTTATCCAGACCTCTGAGTAGGTGATGCTAAGAGGGAGTGGAGCACAACAGGTGCTGTAAGTTGGGAGGCAGTACGCTATGGGATCAGGTGAAGCTGCTGACATGTGATTCAGTTCAGATTGCCTTGTTTATCATAGGAACTGTAATTTGGAAAATGAAGACCAACACATGAAAAAAAAAACCAACAAATCAAGATCTGTTGCACAGGGATGAAATTTTTTCTCAATAAAGCAAAATATTCCACTGCGCTCTTCACCACTCCCCTCCTTGTGCTGTGGCAGAACATGTGTAACCCCCTCCCTAATCTGGGCAGGGAACACCCCGGGATCAGCACAATAGATAGGCTTTTTTCACATCCTAGCGTGGGGTTCAGCTCCTTCTAACATTAACTGCCTTACTTCCAGACTAGCATAGGACATGTTTCTCTTCTAGAGAATGTAAATTTATTAATCCTTCCCTCCATCTAGCACACTTATCCTGCAAAAGTAGTGCTGAATGACTCCCCTATGTTGAGACGGCACCTATTTCTCCTGCTTCCAGTGGGATACATGTCTTAAGTTCAGTACAACGGTTCCATAGTCCTGTTTATATGATCTTTGAAAACATTCAGCCCCAGAAACAAGAGTTGGATTTCTATGCCTTTCCTCTGGGATCTCACTCAGTGACCTCAGTCTTAGAGGCTTCTATGTTCAACTCTAGACTTGACTTGTTTTGCCCTTTTATTGGTCCTTGTGTCTATGGTGACTTGCTGTTATCCTCTTGGAATCACAGCCCTATTTACTTCCTCTTCCTTAATCACATATCATTCCTTATCACTACCTTCAGCCTCACCCTTCCTCCCTTCTCTTGCTTTGTCTCTGGTCCATTTCACTACTTGGTCGTTCATATCATCCCTTGATTCTCACTCCCGCAACTTCTGTTCCTATTCAGATGCTTCCTCCTGCATTGGGATTTCCTTCCTCTAGCAATGGCCCTACATCTCAGTAGGACTTGTCATGTTTTTCCACATTGCAGACTCAGAGCATTTGCAGCATGCAGGAGCCTGTGCCTTCACCTCTCCATCCCTACATGTTTCCTATTACAATATACTGGCTCTTAATCTCCACTTTCTCTGCTCAAGTCAGCATCCGATGGATTACAGTACCAATGTAGCCACTTTCATCTCCTTTAGCACACCCTCCCGCTTCCCCCCTTCTCAGGCTCTCTTGTCAAATTATTTATAGGAGATTGATTCACAGACCTGTTATGTCTAATTATATCCATTCACTTCTAATATGAATGGCAATTCTGCTAGGAGTTAAGATTGCCAAAAATGTTTTGACCTAAGAAAGAGGAGGTGGTGGCTACGTATGCAGATCAGACCCTATAAAAGTACCCTGGGATCAGTCTGTCTTGTCCTTCCTCAGAAATCTCTAAGGTAAGAGTGTCAGAGGCTTTGGACTGGGGAGGTGGGGGATGAAGGGAAACTGGCCCTGCATTCCACAAGCACCAGCGCATTCCTACAGACACATTCATTCAATGGGGGACTGCCAGTGTCAGCTGGGATTTTCACTCTGCTTTCAAGGCATCCATATGTTTTCTGTCTGGATTTTCTCTGGAATTCTGTGCAGCAGTAAGAAGGAAGTTCCTAATTCTGTTTTACAGTACTGACCAGCTTCCAGTCAGCAAGCCATTCATCTTGTCTCACAAAAGGTAAGATCTTAATTTATTCACTCTTTAGGGACAGATAGAGATGCTTTCAGGTAGAATTTCTATGCAGGTGTGCTGGCAATCCCTGTGTTCCTTATATTTATGTCCAATGTATAAATACAGTACAAGAATTGGGTTGGATTGCCGATATCTTTGCCACAAGATTCTCGAAGACAGTGGTCTTAAAAGTACTGATCGCTGCTGCATTGCCTACATTCTCCCCAGGATTCTGCTATAGAGAGCAGTTTCCTACATTAACAGACATTAGGTCCTAAGCTTAGGAGAAACTGTCCTAAGGAGAAAAACCTGATCAGGAAGTAATTTCCAATTACATGTCCATAAATTAAATATATTCTTGAAGCAAACAATTATCTTCTTTTTTTTTACATTTACCTCAAATACCAAGGGTCACTGGCACTAGCTATGAAGCAATAGGAAAAGACATACGTATTTGAATAGTCTTAATATTTTCTTTTTTCATAGGGAAACTTGCTGAATGGGGTTAGAATGTTGTGTATCAAAACATCAAAGTGTTAAAAGAAAGCATTTCAGTCTGAACTTCCTTATAAGCTTGCTTGTGCCTATGAAAATATTGCACAACTGTGATAGAATTTTATAAGCAAATATTAATAATCACAGGGAAATGAAGAAAGGATGATACCTACTTGGATAACTAGAAAAAGAGAGATGGAACAGCAATTAAATTCAAAGTTTTAAATATTTGCGCCCAGGAAAATTAACTGTTCATATTTACTTTTTACATAAATTTATATTAATTTTGTCAAATATTATAACTGGAATATATCCCACAAAATTATAAAATGTCAACAAGCTATTATGTGTAAAGAATATCACTAGCATGCTTTGAATAAGTGGAGGAGAGTTAGCATATCATTGATTTCAGGAAAAATCATATAAAATGGTCAAAAGAAAATTGTCATCAAATACTTTAAAAAGACAATCTACTGACATATTTTATATTTATTATATGTTAACATAATGTATATTAACCTACTATATATATAATACATTGTAATAAT